CTCACACCTAAACATTCCTGCTAACTGAAAGAACATATTAAAAACTTTTTATTTCAGATAGTTGCCAAGGCAGCATCTCTCATTTGATGTACTAAAAGAACTAAAACTAAAGTAAAATGAACAAAAACGATATATATAAGTGTGTGTGTGTGTGTGTATATATACACACATAAAATGACAAAATCTATTTTTGCAATCTCTTCTGCTCAGCAAGGTTGCATTTATTTGATCAGGAATACAGTAAAATAGTGAAATATTATTATAATTTAAAACAGCTGTTTTCTGTGTGAATATCTGTTAAACTGTAATGTATTTCTGTGATGCGCAGCTGTATTTTCAGCATCATTACTCCAGTCTTCAGTGTCACATGATCTTCAGAAATCATTCTAATATGCTGATTTGCTGCTCGAGAAACATTTCTGATTATTATCAATGTTGAAAACATTAATATTTTTGTGGAAACTGATGCATTTTATTTTTCAGGATTCACAGATGAGTAGAAAGTTCAAAAGAGCAGCATTTATTAGAAATAGAAATCTACTGTAACATTATGAATGTCTTTTATTGTCACTTTTGATCAGTTTAATGCATCCTTGCTGAATGTATTTAGTTCTTAAATTAAAACAAAAAAACAAACAGAAAACCCTACCAACCTCAAACCTTTTGAGATACTTTTAGTTTTTATTAATATTTTGAATTAGCTTTATTTCCAGATTTTCTGTTTTCATTCTAATTTTGTAGTGAAAATTTTGGTAATTTTGTTTAGTATTTTTTATACGTTGACATAGTTTTTATTAATTTTTATTCCAGTTTGAAGCTTAAATAAAATACTTAAAAAAATATATTTAATTTAATTTTGTTTTATTTAATTCAAGTTTTTTATGGTTTTAGTTTTAGTTAAGTCAAGTAATGTTTATTTTGATAGCGCTTTATACAGAAGAGACTGATTCGAAGCAGCACCACAGCATTAAACAGGTTAAACAGTTAAAGGTGCAGTACCTGATTTCTGAGAAAAGCTGTTAATATTTGAAACCACCAAAACAAACACGCCCCTACCTAAAGGATCACACCCCTATCTTGATAGCTCCGCCCCCAAATTCACAAACACTGTGCAACACAGGCACCTCCCCCGTCATGACTGGACACGCCCCTTACTGCTGATTGGCTACGAGTGTATACTGCGCGTGCATACTACTGTACTAACCCTGTTTCGCATGAACAGTAAGTAGGTTTTCAGACGCGTCTCTCTCTCTCTCTGCACACAGGTATCCGTCCGTACCGGTGTGATCTGTGTGAGAAAGCCTTCACGCAGCGCTGCTCTCTGGAGTCTCACCTGCGGAAGATCCACGGCGTGCGGCAGCAGTACGCATACCGCCAGCGGCGCTCCAAGATCTTCGTGTGCGAGGACTGTGGCTTCACCTCCAACCGGCCGGACGAATACTTCCTCCACATCAGACAGCAGCACCCGAGCAGCCCGGCGCTGCGCCGTTATTACCGCAAACACATGCTGGAGAGCCCCGCGCAGCACAGCATCGCCCCCTTCATGCTGTACCCTGCCGCAGGACTCTACATGTGAAGCACAGCAGTGCCGTTAGACTACATGCATACTATGCACAGGATACTCACACGACAAGGGTTCATATCTTCATTCTGCATCTCCAGTAAATGATTCTTGATTTAAGGATTCAATACCACGACTTTATGAATTTAAGACTTTCTGCTCTGATTTACAAACTTTTAAGGCTTTAGTTTGTGGAAGGGTGAATTAAGATGTTTTAAGACCCGTAGAAACCCTGCATGATATTAAACACGCAACATTATCTTCATTATTTTGAATAAAACATGCAGCAGAGATGACAACAATGTAACAACCTTCTGTTCTGAATATATATCTTTGCATAATGTGTGCTATTTCACATACTATTTTTCTTAAATAGTAGGAAATATTCTGTTCACTGCATTCTGTTCAACTGTTTTTAGAATAAATTAAAATAAATCTTCTTTATTTCTTAAAAATATTGAATACCACTCAGATTAATCTTTGAACAGTGTATTGTATTATGAATTTTTATCTAAACAATTTATTAATATAATATAATATAATACTTAAATATAATTATTTGATGTAAGCAGCTATTTAACAGTTTTGAAGACATTTTAAGACACTTTCAAGGCCTTAAAATAAGATTCATTATAAAAAGACACAGTATAGAATACAGCAATATACAAGTCACAAATGACAAAGGATTGTTACAGAAAATACGTTTTAAAATATATTTTTTTCATTTTAATAAATGAGAACAGTTATCATTAATATAAAATATTTCCACATAATATCACTAAATGATTATTCCATGAAGGTAAATGACGACATAATCCTCTCTTTAGGATGAATTGTTTCTTTAAGGCAGGGTTTCCCAAACTAGGTTTCATGAGCTTACGAAAACCTAATAATTAATAAAATAAGAAATATTAATACGTAAATAATGTAAAAAGAAAAACAATAAAAATAAAACACTCAATAAAAAAGATTAAATATTTTGCTTATCAATGTGACTATTAACTGACATCAGAGAACCATGAACATGTTGATAAATTATTGAAATATTAACTTTATTAAATATGAACACAGTCTGACCAGCAAACGGTCAAACGCCTCCATGGCTTGGGATTCACCACTAGGGGGAGTAATGCACTGATGAACAATGACAGATGATGATACTGAACACAACATCAGCCTGTATGTCATGTATTATCATATAACAGCAGAGGAAAAAACACTCACTCAGGGTGATGTTTCTGCAGCTGTCCCAGTCAAAATCACACGGGCCACTGTGTTCACCATCAGAACCTCAACCTGAAACTGACAGCTGATCATCACAAGAGACAGAAGCCACACCCACTCCATTCAGAGGATAAAAGCCACGCCCACTCCACAGAACAGAAGCCACACCCACTCAATTTAGAGGACAAAAGCCATGCCCACTCCATAGTGAGGACAGAAGCCACGCCCACTCCATACTGAGGACAGAAGCCACACCCACTCAATTTAGAGGACAGAAACCACACCCACTCTATCCAGAGGACAAAAGCCATGCCCACTCCATACTGAGGACAGAAGCCACACCCACTCAATTTAGAGGACAGAAACCACACCCACTCAATTTAGAGGACAAAAGCCATGCCCACTCCATAGTGAGGACAGAAGCCACGCCCACTCCATACTGAGGACAGAAGCCACACCCACTCAATTTAGAGGACAGAAACCACACCCACTCAATTTAGAGGACAAAAGCCATGCCCACTCCATAGTGAGGACAGAAGCCACGCCCACTCCATACTGAGGACAGAAGCCACACCCACTCAATTTAGAGGACAAAAGCCATGCCCACTCCATAGTGAGGACAGAAGCCACGCCCACTCCATACTGAGGACAGAAGCCACACCCACTCAATTTA